TTGGACACAGGCTCCTCTCTGTGCCTCATTTTACAGCCTGTGTCCAAAGTCAGTTGACACCAGCCTTGCCTGCCTCATAGGAGCCCATGAGACAGGAGGTATGAATGAACCTTGGAAGATACGATGCCCTACACAGGCCAGGGGTGGCCCTGGAAGCTTGTATGAGCTATTCTCAGTGTCTTTGGCTGAGAGAGGTGTTTAAATAGTGTGGATCTCTGAGAAACTATGAGGAAGGCAAATTGGTTCCTAGTATGGTCCCACCTCCCTCTGCCAAGACACCGTTTAGGGTCCCTGTCCTCCTGGACTTCATAATTGCTAACATTGGTTGAGCACCTACTATGTACCAGGAGACACTGTATGTGCCTTAGCTCATTTGATCCTCTCAGCAGCTCTGTGTGCAGATCCAGAAACTGAGCTTAAGGACAGAAATATCAAGTCCCAGACGCCGTCAGTAGGGAACCAGGATGTAGACTCAGGTGGTCTGAGAGCGGGGCCCTCACCCTCCACCCCTCAGCATTGGCCTCCTGTTATCAGATGGCCATCAACCAACGTCGGACACGTGCCGGCTGAGAACAGCTTCTTGTGCGATCTCACTCGGGGTCCAGGTTAAACACATTTTCAAGGGGGACTCTGGAAGTTCAAAGCTTTACCCCCTCTACCTAATGAAATCCTCTCTACCCATCAAAGCGCAGACAAGGATCCTCCTGAAAGCCTGTTCAATCTCCTAGCCCGCGGGGGTCTGGTGCCTTTCTGTCCATACCTCTCCTTTGCACTTGGCACTAAGACAACTGCCCCCACCCAGCCCCACCAACGTGGATGGGTCTCAGCTCCCTGGTGCATACCCCTTAAGCCCTGGTTCTGATCAGATCTCTAAAGTAAGAAACTACTTTTTCTGGGGGTGGGGGGAAGGGGAGTTCAAAACCCCTGCCCCCAAGGTGGACTTTGTAGGAGACAGTGTGGTAAAGAGTAATGAATATGAACTTCGGCACAGAATACAGCTGAGTTCAAAGCCTGGCTCAGACACTTGCTGGCTCATGGCATTAAGCAAGTCCATACCTTTTCTTAATCCCTAAATTGGAGGCGATGATATAAATATGTACCTTTCAGAATTGTGTTGGTTAAGGAAGGATTAGAGGTGCAGTGGCTGACATGTTGTAGGTACTTGATAAATGGTAGCTAGTATCGATTGTTATTATAAACGCTGGCTGGCTGGCTTCATTTGGTTATTAGAACAGGACACAAATACAAACAAAACTCAAATCACACTCAAGAAACTAATGCTAGAGGACTTCTAGAGCCAGGTTTCTATATTTCTGGGGGTCAAAGGCCCTCACCCCTTCCAACCTCCCCACCCCCATCACTTCTCTGTTCCCCTCATAGAGCCACCCCCTCCCCGTCCTTAGCTGGTAAACAGAGGGGAAGACCCCATCTCTTGGTGGGGAGAGAGGGGAACTCAGGTAGATACCTGAGTCAAGTATCGGTCTCATTTTACAGCTGAATGAACCAAGGCCAGAGGTGAGGAGTACTGCCTTTGTCAGACAGGGCTACTCGGTCATAACTGGGCTCTAGAACCTTCCACTGAGGGCAGAGGCCCTGGGAGGCTGCCGCAGGCCTCATGACCTCGGGAAGGGTGACCACGCCTGAAAAGGTTCCATTCTTTTTCCTGAACGTCCTTCCTCCACTTCCAGGCTTCTCTTCTCCTCGTTCCCTCCCCCTCTTCATTTCTGATCTTTCTCTATATTTTTTTCTACCCTTTTCTATCAGAGGTTTATATTTTGCATCAAGCTGCTCCTGGATGTTCAGAGCATGTGTGTGTGTGTGTGTGTGTGTGTGTGTGTGTGTGTGTGTGTGTGATTCTCTTTCCTGAGCTTGTTATTCTTGGAGACAGAACTGCCTTGG